GCATCTCATATTTGCAAATTGAAAACAGTACATAACCTTTTGTTTTTTTTTCAATAGCCTATGTATCTCTTATTTCTCAATTTAACAAAGTGTGTAGCTTTATAACATTATGTGCGACAGAAAACATGGGAGGCATATTTACAATGCTATAAAATCTTCAGTTGCATTGTTGATTATAACATACATTCTCTGCTTGTTTTGCTCACTGCACCTTTCCCAATCCCAGCACCATTATGCACAAAGAGGCTGAACTGAAGGTCCCATGCCCTGCATCCCACACGAAGAAGGATTGCAATTATAGGAGAAAATGAAGACATAATTTGCTTTCCGAAGTCACGTGTCAAATCCCTAACTGCAGTGCAGACTTCTCTACTGCATAGGCATCCTGTGCCAGTTTTGCATGAGCTCGAGTTCTGAGAAATGGCTCAGACACAAGAATTCTTCTTATCCTTCAGCAGTACCTGCAAAGAAGCTCCTTAAAAATTCCTGGACTCATCAATCGACAATATAAGCCATATAGAAAACCAGACAGACATCCATATAAGAAAGCAACATATATAATTTGTTTTTCTTGCTTACTTTTGTATACCCATACTAATCAAATAAAACTCTCAATATACCTGCCAGACAAAATTGCCTTTTTGGTATCCTTCATTCAATACATGACCTTTCTGGGTTAAGCAACTGTCCCCCTGCCAGTTCACTGGGTCCTTTTTCTGCCTTGCCTTTCTCTCCAGCTCTGCATTTTCTCTTCTTTTGTTTGCCTTTGTTTTTGTTTTTGCTGGCAAAACAATTGATAAGTAATAAAAGGATGTTTGTACAAATTGCACTTTTAATGGAAAAGAGATGTATTGCCGTGAAGTGGCAATCGAATGCAACTCCTCACAGCCAGAAGACAGGCTGTAGGAGGGAAAGCAATAATTCCCTTGGAGAAAGCAATACGTTGTCCTTTTCACTGAGTCAGTACGGAGCATTTTTGATGACCTAGCATCTTTTCATTGAAAGAAAGGGAGGAAGAGGAGGGTAGAAGGTTAATGGATGAGAGAGACAGCGAGTGTGTGTGTGAGAGAGACTGAGAGAAATGGAAATTATAATCAAAGATATAAAAGAGCCCAGAATTATTTTAAAAAATCATTGACTGTAGCACATGAAACCCAGAATGTCACCAATATGATTAATGAGGGCCTAAAATCATAGGTAATATTATCACTTATTCTTATTCAAATCAATGTCATGTTTTTAATTTAAACCAGGAGTGGAAATCCTGTGGCCTTCCAAATGTTGTTGGGTTGTAAATCACAGGAGCCTTAACCAGCATAACCAATGGTGAGGAATGGTGGGAGATGCAGTCATATAAGATCCCTGCAGCCTTGAAGGCTCACACCAGGAGGGAATGTTCTAACAAAGGGATTAGACAAATTCATAAAATCTCAGTAGGATAAGGCTGCAAATATGTGAGCTTTTTTTGGCCATAGGCTACTCCAGATGAAAGAGATCATGTCTTTGATGCAGTTCTTGGGAATGCAGTTGATGCAGATACAGTTGCTGGGAAACAACAGCCATGGTAGGCAGAGTGAGAAGGGGCGAATTTAAGCATTCTCCAGTGCTATGGTTCCAATTAAAATTTCTTTTTAGAGCAATTATTTTTTTTTTTTTGCATTAGGGGAAATCAAGGAGCCCCCAGTGGCACAGTGGGTTAAACCCTTGTGCCGGTAGGACTGAAGATCGACAGGTCACAGGTTCGAATTCAGGGAGAGCTCTAGCTCCTCATGCAGGGACATGAGAGAAGCCTCCAACAAGGATGATAAAATATCAAAAATATCCAGGCATCCCCTGGGCCAATTCTCTCACACCGGAAGCAACTTGCAGTTTTTCAAGTCGCTCTTGACACCAAAATAAAATAAATACAATAATTCAGGGGGAAGTTTCCATTTCTCTTTGGCATTTAATTCCCTCTATCTAAATATTCTGGAAGCACAGAATTGCATTAGATATGTACTGTGAGTTCACCTTCTTCAGACCCTTGATTGTCCCTGTACTTATATAGGATTCATTGCAAGGCCAATGCCAGTAGGATTGTGCATGGCAAATCCAAGTTGATCTGTAAGAGAGACCATCATTAGTGGACTCCTGTTAAGTTTTACCTCTTTTTGCTTAGACTTCCCTATGACATACATGCCCACTATTAAATATTACATTTTAAATCTAGCCTCCATTTGCCTGGGTAAGTTGGGTCAAAACATGTGTAGACGGGAAGACATAGAGGTGCATGTGTACATCAGAAAATTTGTAAAGATGTATAACTGCCAGTACTCTTGTGATAGGGGTGTAATGAACCGGACTCTGATTTTACTCCAGACTATCAAAGAGCTGTCCAAGGTGCTGAACAAAGGGTTCAGAACTTTGAATAGTCCCACTAAAGACTGAAACCAATCTTTAGTGACTGCCATTGAACTATGCACACTCATGTGTAATGACTGGAAATGCTGCCTTTCCTGATCGTTTTGTTTACTCGGAGGGAATCTATGCATGTTCAACTTTATTTCTGCTGTAAAATCTATTTAAACCTTCAGATTACTATATGGAAGTAAGGGACAGGGAGAGCAGTCGTGTTCATTCTCTCTCTGTACTCACTAATATTTTTTGGGCATTCTTTTATAAATGAGCACATTAAAGTAGCACCTGTTATCAACTGAACAAATTAAAAAGACAAAAGTATGATATTGTATATAGAAAGTCTGCAGAAACACTGGATAGAATGCTTCAGTCATGGACCTCCATCTGTTTAACTACTTCAATCAGATAGAAAATATATAAGTTACATGGATGTCATGCTTCTTTCAATGGAGGACTGGCTAGGTTGTCAGCTTGCCCAATGGCAAGTGTGCCCCCTTAACCATTAGACAATATGTTTAAAATGTTAATGAAAATATAAAAGAAGATCCAATATTATTACCATATACAAGTAAAATGTACATTGTATTTCTAGTTTAATAAAAAATAATATAATCATTGAGGTGTTGTGAGGTTTCTGGGCTGTATGGCTGTGTTCAAGCAGCATTTCTCCTGACATTTCACCTGAATCTGTGGGTGGCATCTTCAGAAGATCTTCAGAGGATGCCAGGTATAGATACAGGTGAAACACCAGGAGAAAATGCTCTTAGAACACTGTCATACAGACTGGAAACCACACAACACTCCAGTGATTCTGGCCATGAAATCCTTCAATAATACAATACAATCATTTTTTAGGGAATTAAATGAGAGCCTTATTGTTGTAGTTGGCCCCCCTTTGTCTCCTGACAACCAATATTTTTAGACCCAGTACACCACAGGCTTCCGGTAGTTAATGAACACAGGGCCATGGGATCATGTTGGACTAACATCTGGTCCATTTCTTCTTTCTTTCTTTAGCATCTCTGGGATGGTTGAAAAATACATGAAGTATTATATCAAAAGAGCAGGTCTATATGCAATAGTTCTGGACCATTCTACCACAACATTGGTTTTGTTTTGGGTATTTCAACTGAGAAAATTGTTTAAAATGCATTTGGAGATAATGTTGTCATGTATCTAGGCCTTGCGGAGTTGAAGCTCCTGACAAGCAACAACCATGGAAATCCCCTCTCCTTTATTTCACCTGGAAATCCATCAGCTTTATAGAAGATCCAATCTTTGTAGAGATAACATGCCAGAGCAAGTTTATTGATATAGAGCTGCTCATATTTTTTGGATTCTACTTAACAAGTATGGCTACCAAGATAGTTGTAATAAGAATCCAATTCTCAAGAGGTACCATGACTCCAAAACTAGACCAATGGTCTACTTTGAAACATTTGTGTGTATGTGTAGGCTGCTCTGAGTCCCCTTAGGGGGATGGGGTGGGATACAAATAAATTATTATTATTATTATTATTATTATTATTATTATTATTATTTACACAAAAGCACAGTATGTCACAGCAAACGAGATCTATATACTGGATTTCGTATCACAAAATCACAAGTTGAACACTTCCGAAGCATCTAGGACTGTGTGATGTATTTTCGAATGATGCGCGCAGATCCAAGTAAGGTGGCCTTTTGCAGTTGACAGATCGTGATTCACATCAGCCAAAAACAGGCCCACCCTCTCCATTAAAATACTGGTAAGTTTATGTTGGTTAAAATTGTTCTTCATTTTAAATATTGTATTGTTCTTTCATTTGGTTTTTTGCACTACAAATAAGATATGTGCAGTGTGCATAGGAATTCATTCATGGTCGTCACCCCCCCCCCCAAAAAAAACCCATAGTCCTCCCTCCCAACAGTCTGAGTGACTAGGAACTGGCACTCTGCTTAAAAAGTTTGAGGTCCCCTGGCTTACAGGGTCAGAGAGAACCCACTGCCTTCAACTCAAGAAGACATTTAAAAAACGTCTTTTAACTAGAAACATATATGAGTATTGTCATTCAAGTGGAAGCCAAGAAAAACTGATCTTATAATACAGTACCACATGGATGGTGACTTTTGTGAATTGCTTCACACTTACCAAGTATAGTGTTATGTTTCCAAATTAATTGCCATGTCAAAGTTCTGTGGAATCCTTGAATTTGCCATTTTTGGAGGAGTACTGAGAATTTTTAGAGAATTCTAATGTCTTCTCAAATTACAAACCTAGGATTACATGGGATAAAGTCATAGAATCTCAAAGTGTAATTTCAGCTCTATAATTATATAGTGTTTATTTATTTCGTTTCAAAAGCATTGCATACATTAGTAATAAAACTGATAAAAATAGAAGGAGCACAGGAGGCGAAATATCTTTTGACCAAAAACGGGCAGCAGCAATGGCATTGTCTGTAGCCTCCAACAATTCTTCCTCCATACATGAGGCAAGGCATAGTGGACAAGCATACAGATGCGGAGTTGTCCGTTCTGCTCCAGTCACACAAGGTGTGGGATTCTTTTAGGTAGTGCCATTTTGCCAGTTGTCTTTTGATTTTGCCCACTCCACTTCTGAGTCTGTTCAGGGACTTCCAAGTTGCCCATTCTTGGTTTGCCCCTGGAGGAAGACCCTCGTGGGGGGGGGGGCATCCAGTTGGGATTTCCTGGTTTAGCTGCCCAGAGGGATACCCTTGCTGTTGCTGGGGGGATGCCAAGAGGAGTGGTAGTTCTCATAAAGCTTTTCCTTGATTTGAGTCTACTGGGAGGAGGCTGGTAGCCATGTAGTGGATGGCTTTCACAGTGTTCAACCTTATTTCTCTCACATTTAGCAGCAACTTCCCATTGCACATCGGGGGGGGGGGCAATGCCAGTTAGTTTGCAGAGTTTATCAACAGGTGTAAGTTTAAGACATTCTGTGATTTTTCTGCATGTTTCGTTCAATGCTATGTTCACCTGCTTTGCATGGGCAGACTTATGCCAAACAGGGCAGGCATACTCGGTAGTTGAGTAAGACAAGGCTAGGGCTGATGCTCTTATTAATTTTGGGTCTGCACCCCATGTGCTGTCAGTAAGTTTCCGCAGGATGTTATTGTGCGCAGCTACTTTGTGCTTGGTGTCCAAGCAGTGTTTCCTATATGCTAGTGTTCGATCTAAGGTGACACCGAGATATTTAGGATGGAAACAATGTTCAAGCTCTTGACTTTCCCAGGTGACTTTCAATTTCCTGTTGGCTTCACGGTTGTGTAGGTGGAAAGCACACACTTGTGTCTTGGCAGGGTTAGGCTTCAGGTGGTTATCTTTGCAGTAGCTGGAGAGATCTTTCAAGGCATTAGTAAGTTGGATTTCAACTGTTTCAAAGTCTTTTGCTTGTGTTGTTAGGCCAAGGTTATCAGCACATATAAAGCTCTCTGTTTGTGGTGGTTGTGGCTGATCGTTAGTAAAGATATTAAACAAGGTTGGTGCAAGAATGCTTCCTTGTATAGTGTGAAAGGATGGCTTGCTTGTTGATTACTTGGGTGAGTCCAATCTTATATCTGAGACATTTAGAATGCTTTGGGGCTGGATCTACGCTGCCCTATATCCTAGGATCTGATCCCAGATTATCTGTTTATCCCAGATTATCTGGGAGTGGACTCATATAATCTAGTTCAAATCAGATAATCTGGGATCAGATCATGGGATATAGGGCAGTGTAGATCCAGCCTGATGCACTACAGAACTATCTTATATATTTCAGATTTATAAAAGCGGATTGTGGTGGTAGCTTTAGAAGCATGTGTAGTCTCTCTGTATAAAAAGACAATAAAAATAACAGTGTAAAATTATTTGGCCTGCTAAACAGCAGATGATTAATATATATTCATATATGTATCTGTGTTTTTCTGCCCATACATTTATCTAGAACAACACATAAAGAGACACATCCATTTACGCATATATGAACGAATATTGCACTGTCTGCTGAAATCTTGTATATTGTAATATCAGAAATTCAATTTAGCAGCTGTCTGTTCAAAACACTGCAATCACTGGTAAATGAGAAAATGGATGAAAGAGGGGATATTTGTGTTTAATATTTGTGGATTTATCTGTGGGTATTCTCCTCTGCCATTGCACATTTGAAACAAGGTAAACACATGGTATTCTTTTAAAAAATATGGATGTTGTTATTGCCATTTTGGGCAGAGATATTTGGTGGGAAAAATATTTCTGCTTGCCCCAGGATTCCAGCTTGGGTTTTAACAACAAGCGTGATGTAGCAAAATGAAAAAGCGAGCTTTGGTGAGAAAGTGTATCCCTATACATCTTCACACTGCATAGGAAAGGAGATGAGAGTATTATAAATAGGGCATTTCTCATGCATCATGATTTCTCTCTGTGCATCGGCAGATGTGCAAAATCAAGATTTAGAGGGCTCAGCTGATGCTTGGCAAGGTGTTCTACTTTTTAAACAGGGAGAAAAACATTGCCACCATTTTTTTTGCTGCTCTTGATGTACTGACACCTTTGATTGTGCGGGTGGCTGATTCAGATTGCTTATTCCATCCGTCTCACATGTGATGTTGACCGTCGGCACTGGGAGGCAGGGTTATGTGATGCCAGAAAGCAGGAGATGGAAACAGCCAATGAAAGGGGTCTCTCAGGGAGTCCTGGTTGCTGAAGAGAGAATAAAAGAAAGCACATTTTTTATTAGCTTTTACTTCTCTGAGAAGTTTGATAGACAAATTCAAAAGAAAAAAATGCCAATGAAGGGAGGACCAGCAGAGCCATCTGAGGATGAGCCCATCAGTAAATGTGAGGTCTCTATATGTTTATGTTCCTCAACAAAGAAGCACCATAGCTCTACTGCTTTGAAAAAGCATTTTCAGTACCAATGCTTTAAATTATATTTTGAGACCTCTCTGAACTATTGACAAAATGATTAAAGAGGAATTGTCTCCCCCCGGTCCTCCTTCGCAGATTTGATTTAAAGTCAGAGGAACTGCTAATAAAAATGCTGCAGTCACCTTTTTCTTATCCACCAGCATCCAGACCACTGGTGTTTATTGTGTTTCCCCCCACTGTTGATATATTTTAAACTGCAGACCACAAAGAAGATAAGAATTCAAGGTGTGTAGGTGTTTTCCTTGCAATGTATTTCACATGCCAGTATAGAGCTGTACACACTAACTATTACCCTATAGCAGCAAGCACATAAATTATCTCTGATTATTTTTTAATTTTTTAAATGCAATAATAGAATCATAGAGTTGGAAGAGACCTCATGGGCCATCTAGTCCAACCCCCTGACAAGAAGCAGGAAAATTGTATTCAAAGCACTCCAGACCGATGGCCATCCAGCCTCTGCTTAAAAGCCTCCAAAGAAGGAGCCTCCACCACACTCTGGGGCAGAGAGTTCCACTGCTGAACAACTCTCACAGTTAGAAAGTTCTTCCTAATGTTCAGGTGGAAAGGAGATTCCACCATTTCAGGTGGAATCTCCTTTCCTGTAGTTTGAAGCCATTGTTTCATGCCCTAGTCTCCAGGGCAACAGGAAACAAGCTTTTTCCCTTCTCCCTATGATTTCCCCTCATATATTTATCCATGGCCATCATGTGTCCTCTCAGCCTTCTCTCTTGCAGGCTAAATATGGCCAGCTCTTTAAGCTGCTCCTCATAGGGCTTGTTCTCCAGAAACTTGATTAGTTGCCCTCCTCTGGACACATTTCAACTTGTCAACATCTCCCTTCAATTGCTGTACCCAGAATTGGACACAGTATTCCAGTCTGACCAAGGCAGAATAGAGGGGTAGCATGACTTCCCTGGGTCTGGGAAATATACTCCTATTTATGCAGGCCAAAATCCCATTAGCTTTTTTGCCACTGTACGGCACTCTTGGCTCGTATTTAACTTGTTGTCAAACAAGTTAAATTCAAAGATCTTTTTCACACGTACTGCTATTCAGCCACGCTCACCCATTCTGTATCTTTGCATTTCATTTTTTCTGCCTAAGTGGAGTTTCTTGCATTGTCACTGTTGAACTTCATTTTGTTAGTTTTGACCCATAGCCATTGGCCAATGGAAGGGAGTGACCAGCTATGGCTAATGCTTGAAATCCTGTTGGTTTACTGTGCCAGTACAAACTTGCCAGTGAAAGTAATAGTAGCAGAAAGAAAAAGCCATAGACATGGAAGCCATGATACCAAGACAACATCGGAGAAATAGGCTGCTTCGTGCTGATAGCTTTCATTTGCTGACATTTCTACAACTGCGTAACCCTGGAAAAAGTGTAACCGTTAGCACAATACACCAACCGGACTCCAATCATTTTCTTCTAGATAAAATAGCGATAATAGTAAAATAGTTGATGAGCACTTAAGTACCCAGTTTTACATAATCCTTAATTACAGGAGATTTGTATTGCATGCCAAAAGTGTTAATGCTAATTATTTTCAAACTGCTTTCTTCTGACAGCTCATCATGGCTGACTATAACTTTTAAATTTTAATTCTCTCTCTAAGTAAGGCTATATATGGCAGAAAGTTGGCTTTATCTTAAATTGATCCACAGCACGGTCTGGCCCATCTGGAACCAGGTACAAGAACGTTCACAATATATAAATCTGAACGAGAATCAAAATAAATCCTTGCTATTATGCTATAGCTTTTAAATATTTATATACATGGTACCCATATTGACTGGGGATAGAGGAAAGATGAACACATCCAATTGCTTCACAGCAAGGCTACATATAACTGCTCAGGGTAGACAGAATCCATTTAGGAGTGAGATTTAAATGATTACAAGCAAATATGACAAAACACTTTCCTTATTCATCTACTGTTAGTTTATGAGATATTTATGACCAGAGGTCCTTCCATACTACACAATAATAGCACTATGATTCCACTTTAATTGCCATGGCTGTATCCCATGGAATCCTTGAATCTGTAGATTAGGGAGGGACATTTAGAAATCTCAGCCAGGCAGCTCTACTGCCTCACCAAACTACAAGTCCCAAGATTCCATAGCATACAGCGGTGGCATTCAAACTGCAAACACAGTGCTATTATTGTGCACTGTGAAAGGGACTGTGAGAAAAGAAAACTGTAGAATACCTTATAGGCCATTGTGATATTGTTCACACATGCCCCATCACCCATTTTCCTCTGAAAATATTGGAGAGTATGCAGTATGGACTTTTCTAAATATCACCTTACATATTCCACAGAAATTCAATGGGGAAAAGAGAGTATGCAAAGGGATCTTCATTACTTGATATAGGGTGCAACTTCACTGTGGAATTAATGCAGTTTGACACCATTTTAATTGCCAGGGCACCATGCTATGGGATGATGGGAATTGTAGTTTGGCAGAGAAGGCTAATTGCCTTGCTAAACTGCAGGTAAAGGTACAGGTTTTCCCCTGACATTAAGTCCAGTTATGTCTGACTCTGGGGGTTGGTGCTCATCTCCTTTTCTAAGCCAAAGACTTGGCGTTGTCCGTAGACACCTCCAAGGTCATGTGGCTGGCATGACTGCATTGAACACCGATACCTTCCCGCTGGAACAGTATCTATTGATCTACTCACATTTGCATGTTTTCGAACTCCTAGGTTGGCAGAAGCTGTGGCTAACAGCGGGAGTTCATGCCGCTCAGCAGATTCGAACCTGTGACCTTTCCAGGGCTAAACTGCAACATGGCAGTTAAAGCGGTGTCAAACTATATTAATTCTATAATGTAGATGCACATTGTGTTTTCTTGATTTTTTTCTATAGTTATAGCCAATACTTTCAGGCTTTTATTGATCATAAGAGATTTGGCAGCAAATGGCCAACCTTGCATCAGGCTTTGACAAATAATGCCTTTGATTTGAGACTTTTTTGGTCATGGAGGTTAGTCTTTAAATTAAAAGGTGTGTGGGAGGGGGGAGGCATGTGGTATGGTATGACCCTGAGTGTTCAGCTCCTTCTCAGAGAATATAATGATTTCATCTTTCTAGACTTAATTTTTAAGAGGAATTATAAAAATTCTACAAGAGAGACCATGAATTCTACTTTGGTGCTTACAGTTATACTTTGGAGGCCCCAGGATATAATTGGGAGGTGTTCTACTGTGGTTATCCCCCCTGCCCCCCAAACCCTACTCTAAATGTTGCCATTTTTCAAGGAACTGAGTTACTTTTTAAGTGATCTTTGGGGGGAAAATGGGATTTCATTCAGCAGCATAAAGCAGATGGATATCATGAGACAGAACCTAAAGTGTGTTTGATGAGACCATACCACTGTAAGTTGTTGAAAAAGAAACAGTTGTCAGTTATTAGACAGTATCAGTTATTAGACAGTATAGCTATACCTTTATAGAGGGTTATGCCCTTATACAGGAAGGGGAGAAAAAAGTTTAATATCTATCTCATCTTCCAGTCACCCTGCCAGTCTGAGGAACTTGAAGAGTGAGCCAGACCACCCACAAAACCTCACCTTGCTTTTAAGTAATACCAGGTCAGTGAAAAGTGAGATGTACATCACCTATGATCTCCTCAAAGATGAGGGAGCTGACCTGGCATGCTTCTCTGAAACATTGCTGGGAGACAATATTGCTCCAACCTGCCCCCGCCCTCCAGGCCGGGTATTGTGTCAGCAGTCAGTTAAAGGGGTATTAAACTGCATTAATTCTATGTCTTGTTTATGATTTTTAAAAATATACACATGAGAGAAAGAGAAGAGGCCTTGAAATTGCCCATCAGTTGTTATAATATAAACAACAGACATATGAGGTATACAGGTTATATGGTCTCAATTTCCATCACCTTGGTAAGATGTATTGGTCATTATCTATACATTTGAAATTTTACGTATGCATTACATAGTTAAACTTTATGCAAAATGCAGAATTCCTCTCACAATTTGTCATCACAGTCTTGCTCCCTGGTGTGATATGGGCTGGAAACATCATCCTATGACCTCCTCATATGGGCTAAACTGCCTGGGATATGCCAGTTCCTCCTACCTTTGGGGACAAAGTTCACTGGCCCCTATCCCACAATGCATATCTACTTTAGGAGGGCTCCATTGCAAATGGGAAGAGGAACCAGCGGATGCTGCTGCAGTGGAAACACAGGAGTTAGCAAAAACCATGGCAGGTAACATAGATGCAGGAGGGAGAATTACACTTTAGTAGCTACGTGCCATTATTATGTTAGATAAATCCAAATTGTTGTCTACATCATTTCAAAATAGTTTAACTATTTTGGGGTCTGAATGGCTTAATTCTGTACATCATATTTCATGAGGAAGCTATTGTCACTATGGCAATGAAAGAATGAAAAACATGCATGGACAGTTTCTGCAGAATTTCCTGTAAAAATATGTATCTTGTTTCCTCATCAATAGTAATTGCCAGATGTTTCTGAATCTTATGTATCTATAGGCCTGTCTGTGTAGTAATGAGTGAAAAACTCTGAAAGTATATATAGTTCTCAAAAAAGAGAAGCAGTCACACATACACATAGAGAGAGCCTTTTTTATCCAAGAAAAATTTCTCCTTTTTATTATTTTACATTGATAGTTATTTAGTGTTAGCTAAAAAGTGGCATTCTTCCAATTCACTTATTCGACGGCTTAGCAAAAGTGATGGATTTTCTTATTGCTATAAACATCATTATGTTTTTGAGGATTCCTGAGATATAGAGTAGAAAGCTTGACAAAACTCATATTAATTACAAAAAAAGAGGTCCACCAGTGTCAGATTGCCAGCTGAATCTTACTTCAACCCTGGCAATAAGGCAATTTCTACCTCTACACTTATGGAAAATGGGGTAGCAAGATAGTTTATGATGTACTGGGCTATATAAGATCCTTAGGATGCAATATGTGATTGATCACAACAAATATTGTAGGACCTGAATTCTACTGGTACTTGCAACTATTTGGAACTTATCTAAATCCAAACTCATTGAATCAGTCGTGGATTCAGTGGGTCTACCACTGGAGCCTAACAATAAGGTACAGGCCATAGTTTTGTCCTCAGATTGCTTATTGCTACTCTTCCTGCTTTGAGCTTTGAAGAAAATCTAGACAATCACTAGTTTCTTTTAAGTAATTTGCCTGTTCCCTGAGCTAACTCTCCTCAGGTGCCCTATTCTTGGCAAGAACAGAATTGGAAACACACAACAAAAGGTGTAACAGTAAACAAAAGGGAATTTCATTGTATTGAAGATCAGTCCAACTTTTCCCAAGGTCTGACCAACAAAAAAAAAATACTTGATAGAACAGATCAAAGCTTGGAACTTAACTGGGTTTCTCTTGGTTTCTTCCAAATATATATTCTTTCTGGCTTCTTTTCTGTCAGGATTTGACTTCTTTCAATACCTCTTGTTTGTCTCTTTTCTTGTACAAATTGTAGACTTAGTTCCTCAATACTTCAACCTTGTTTCTCTAAGTCTTAAACTTCATTTCTTCAGTATTTAACATGGAAGGTACTACAGACTGTAGGTTCTTTGGCACTATCAGAATGACTAGCTGCAAAGGAATTGCTGAGGAGGACTGCAAGTTCCATCTGGGGGAGGGGGTTCTTAAAAGGAAAGGGTCCAATTAAAACCACTCCCACAGAAAACTATTAAAAAAGGAACTAAACCCATTCTAAATAAGGGACAACTGAGGCTTGACAAAGAAAACAGCAAAAGCCTCTGTGGGAGCATGAGATAGTTCCTTTCACAAATAACAATAATATCGATCTCATCACAAAGGGCTAAAATTGGCACCTTGCACTGATTTTAGCCCAGGTCACTCATGGAGCTGGCTGGCTCCCATCACATGACACCATGCTGGCTCCATGGCTGAAGAAGGTAGAAGCCGGTGCATGCTTTTGGAGAGCTCCCGTGTTGCCATACAATCTATGTGGGGAAGCCGCACGCACCACTGCACTCACGCTTTCCCCCATGTGACCGCCTTCACTTGAATCCAGGCAATGCGGGATGTGGGGCGCCAGTTTCCCCATTTCCCTTTATTAGACAGAGTGCCATGGCTGTCTGGTGAGGTTGTATAATTACTGATACATATGACATAACTAAAGCACTGGCTTGTGTGTTGCCTCATGCAACAGCATGCGTGTTTCCTCATGCAACAGCCTTGTTCTGTGTTATGGTTTTGAGGTAACAGTAAGGTGGATGGAAAGATTGTTTTATACCATAAGGTGACAGCTTTCACTATTCATTTTTAAACCCAAAACTTAAAACAAGTCTACTTCACCTGCTTTTGAGAACTGGGCATGAGGAACGAGATAATAGGTTTGGAGCAGAGAGATATGGAGAAGGAAGAAAAAAAGTGAAAGAATGGGAAAGGAAGGAATTTACTGGGACTTGTGGAGCAGATGAAAGACAAAAAGAAAAAATGAGTCAAAGAGATAGACTTAAGGAACAAGGGACATAATTCTGGACAGGAGGTGCTTGGGAGGAGGACAAGAAAGCGAAAGGAAGGAGATGTTTAGCCATACATTGCCAACAATGGAGGAGAGAGTAAGAAGAGGAGAAAGAGAGAGGGGTGAAATAAAGAATTAAAACAGAAAGGAATCAAGTGCTTAACTGAAGTAAGACGCTTGTCTCTTGCTTTACAGTCAATATAAACATAAGACCAAGAAAGGAAGCAGCTATGTAGGAGAGAATGAAAAATGGAGAACAGAACTGGGAGAAGCCACAAAACAGCAGTGTTATGCTACTATACTCAGGATGGTTCCAGACAGCACTTTATCCTGTGCCAAAGGGGGTTTAAAAAACCTGATTTGGCACTGTTTAAAGTCCACCCCCTCTAAAAAACCAGCTTTCCCAGTAGGGTGGTTACATACCATTCCTGTTGTGACTCAGCTGGAACCACAGACACAGACTGGTAGTGTTGTGACTCAGATGGGGTCTCAGAGTGACTCTGACGAGGATGATGGGATTCAGGTTCACAATCAGGTTCAAAATGTTCCTGTTGTAGACAATGAGGAACAGGGTGTGCAAGTTTAGTTTCCCACAGCAGGGAATGATGTTTTTGATACTGAAACTAGCCAGGTGCAAATTGACTCAGAAACGGAGGACAGTTCTCAGCCTGATAGTAGGCAGGAAGGCAACCAGGCTGACACTAATGAGCAGCCTGACCTTGATGAAACGGGAATCTTAGATCAGGCTGACTGTTTAGAATTCAGAGTTCAAAGGAGTGTGAGAATAGCCAACAAGAAGGAGATCAGAAGCCAAAGAAATGCTTTCATGTATTGCAAAGGGTATTAAGCAGGGTCTGAAAACAAACCTTTGTCAGAGCAACTTCTCGTTCAACCAAGCTGCTTGTGCTCGTTTCCCTGTGTCCATGGTCTTGGGATTTTGTCATGTTCTCATGGGACTTTGTTTCGTTGGTGCCATTTGGAATTCTGCTTTACAGTGCTATGTTTTATTGATCTTTGGAACACTACTTGCTTTTTAAACTTTTCATCTTTTATTTTTAATAAACTACAAAGACTTCAGTCTGTGTGCAGTTCTGGTGATTTCAGCAAGGTGAATCTATCCTGAGGTGCAACAATTCTGATAATTACTGATATGATATTAATCCATCCACTCACCCCCCCCCCCAAACCTTTAAAACGGTTAAGAATGTACCAGGCCTCCATTAGACATCACAGCAAACTTCCTGGAATGTACCAATTACACGCAAGGAGGCTGGGGGGGGGCAGGAGCAATTTTCCCCCCCTCACTTCTTTTTACATAATTGGTACATTCCAGGAAGCGTATTGCAAGCCTAATGGAAGCCTGGTAAGTTCTTACCCATTTTTAGGGCTTTTCTGGGGGGTGGGAAGGGATGGGGGTGGGGATCATCTCACATCTCTGGGTTCCAGGAGCCCTGAAGGTGCGAGATGGGTGTATGGACAGGGCCCAGGAAAGTCCATACAGGCCCATAGCCCATTAGACCTGGACCTTTCACAAAGGCATGGCTAATAGGCTATCATATTAATTCAGGATAATTCAGGGTTTTCCTGCTTTGTCCCAAATAAATCCTTTTTTACTAGAGGGGAGGTGTTGTTTGGACACCTTCAATAAAATGCGAGAGGGCCTGGGATATAGGCCCTGTCTGGATGGGCCCCCAATGACTACTGAGAAAGTGAATACTAGCCATTATTTCCCCTGATTGATTGTTTTCTCTCACTGAGCCTCAGTGTCAGCTATACTTGAAGAAACTTGAGGGAAAGCAAAAGGGGGTGAAGGCAAACTCCCAGAACTTGTCTGAAGCAGTCTGCAGAAGAAGGGGTGAGCAAGCAATACCTCTCCAAAAATCTTTCATGACAGTACTCTCAGCCTGAAATTTCTCCTCATTCATATGACCCAAAGGAAAGGAGTAGGTCCTGAGATTTGGGAACACTACATCACTTTCTATATTTCCCACAAGGGATAGGCCAGGCTCCCATCCGCAGCATTATTTTTCTTACTGCTTTACAGGAAAGGGAAGACAAAATCTTTAGAGGGATTGCTTTCAAAATGCTATTGCCCAGACAGACTCACATACCATTGTCACACTGGAAAACAAGTTGAAATTGTGTGTTAAATGGTTTGTGACTAATACACTGCCCTTTTAAATAACTGAGCTTAAATCCATTTGAATGAGCAATATTACCTGTCAGATAGAACTAAAGCTTTCCATTTCATCCCACCTGGACTAAAATCCATTACTTTCTGTAAAATGCCATTTCATTCATCCTCTCAGCAGCCACACCCCCACTGCCATCAGCAAGCAAGCAAGCAATACAAAGAGTTCTGAAATTTCTGTTTAATTAACCTAGGCTTTATCTACATATGCTTGCCATACCATCCAACTACAGCTATAGATGCAAACTGTCTCAACCAAAGCCGAGGAAATAAAGAACAACATGGTCTCATTTTGCATTTATCCAGCCCACGTTTTCCCTTCTTTTCTATTGCTGCTGCATAAAGAGAGTGCTGGGTCTTAGGTAGTTTTGGCTGATGTCCTACAGATTAGTTCAAGGGTGAGCAGACTTTATGCTTGCCAATTTCCATAAATACCAGGAGAAAAGAAACCCTCTGGTTAAATTAGAGGCAACAGCTAGCTCTGTGTACTTGTGTCTCAGTGCCTTTGTCTCCTAGGTTGTTTTTGTTTTTTTGGTTTGCAGCCATTAATAGTTTGGCCTCCATGAGGAGAGAGCAAAAGGGAGTGTGTCAGAGCAGCAGGCCAAAATCAAATTACAGCAACCTCGTGCTTTGCATTAAAGCTTCTGCTAAGTGATGGAAGCTGGTAATCGTCCCAATTTTCCTTAAAGACAATAGCCCTCCATGCAACCAACTACATTCAGTTAATTCCACGCTGTCGGCTTTCCTTTATTGGCTGTGGGGAATGCAGTATTGATTCCTGAACTGAGCAGCAGCACAAAGAACCACTAGTGCATGGTGAAAATGCAGCAATGAAACACGTCTGGCAGCTGGAGGAAAGCCGCCATTCCGCTGCACAAACAAGGTCAATTAAAGGACAGTGCAGCACAATATAAATAGCATTACCATCCTTCTTCAGCCAGAATGATATCATGCTGGCAAGATGACAGTAAATAAAAGAGAACCTAATGCAGAAGAATATGAAGGAATTTGATGTAATTTAATTTCAAGCCCTGCACCATTTTGAAAATGCTATCAATAGCAAAATACATTTTCCCCCTTTAAGTAACTGTTAGGGATCCCTGCCTAATCCCATTGTAATAAACCAGAGTATAAATTAGCCCACAAGTAATATGCACACGTCAAGTGGTAAATGTTCTCCTCAGAAAGCAGCTATGAGACATCCTTGTGACTGTATGCTCTATTTCTTGTACTATTCATTTTGAGTCTCTTCAGTGTCAAATGATTTTAATCATGAAACAAATATTAGTAATTTGAGCTAATAGAGTTGAACACCACAGAGAGCTGTGGTCTTCAAAAATATTATTTGCATGAATACATAAGATACACGCTATTGCCAGATGCCAATTAAAATTGAAAATATGTCACATGCTGCCATATTTTATTTTGTATAATGAATACCTCCCTCCTCTATTTGTGTGTGTGTGTGTGGACAGAACAGCTCTAGATGTTTTATATATTTTTTCAAATGCCCATTCATTCTGTGCTCTCCAATGCAATGAATGAATTTGTGGAGCCTCATGTTGTGATAAGGAAACCTAAATCTATGTTTTTGTAACTTTTCATTTCACATGGGTGGTGCTTTAGATTGGAGCCAATCATATCTATTCATAGTAGCATGAAAAAAAGGATAGAAAGCTCTTGTGATTCTGACAAATCCCTTCAGGTACCTAGAGGATTATTATGGAACCTATAATACAAAATTCTTAGATAAAATATATACCACAAGTTGGAAATAATATAAACAAGTCCAAAAGGCTGCCAGTGCCATTAAAAAGCAGTGTCATGAAGTTCCTTTAAGGAGGTGTAGAATATTTATTTTCTACACCTAAGTCTACACCATAAGTCACAAATGTGTGTGTGGTGAGGGGGACTCAGCTGTAAATTCAACTTTTGAAAGAATTTAGGCATTTTGGTTCCAGAGATGTGATGCCTTTCAGAGTCATGGCCAAATGTCAACAAGTCCACTTGTTATCTGAGTATGAGATTGTTCAAAGATTTGAAATGCAAATGTGTGGTGTGGATGGTTTAGTGGAATCTCAAAGGGGACTGGAATGACAGGTGAATGGTCTAATCTCTGTTCCAGGTGAAAAATCTGGAGGTGCAACTTCACAAACAACCCAAACAGGGCCAGTTCTACCATCAAGCAAAATGGTGCATTAAATTTTGGGTGTCATGAAAGAACAGCAAATTATCATTAATTATTCAACAATTTATTCTTGTATTTTTATTGCTAGTGAGAAGTAGAGGCATTTGTGGAAATGTCTATCATAGTTTGCTCTTCAATTGGATGAAGGAAGAGGTTTCTTTAGGTGTCTTGCCATAGGCAGAAAAATTGGCCTAAATTCTGGTGTGAGAGAATTGTCCGTCTGAAAGGACATTGTCCTGGGAATGTCCAGATGTTTTACCATCCTATGGGAGGCTAATTTCATGTCCCTGCATGAGAAGCTGGAGCTGACAAATGGGAGCTCACCCTGCTTTCCAGATTCGAACAGCTGACCTTTTGGTCAGGAGTCCTGCAGACACAAGGGTGTAACCCATTGCGCCACTGGGGGCTCCTGTCTAATGATGCTACATTTAAATTGTTGCTCAGATATGCCTTGAGTTGGACTCCAGCTTAAATGCAGTGCCAGATGAGGTAACCGAGGCACCTGTCTGTTCGATCTTATGGGATTCCTTCCATCTTGTTCAACCTGATGACGTGGAGAGGATCCTTGGGTCTGTGAGAGCGACCACTTGCACTCTAGATCCTTGCCCATCCTGGCTAGTTAAACTGGGCAAAGAAGGGTTGTTGGAATGGTTTGTTACAATAATAAATGCTTCATTGCAGGCAGTGGTAAAACCTCTTCTAAAGAAATCCACCCTTGACCCGACGGTATGTAACAACTACAGACCAATTTCCAACCTCCCTTTTTTGGGCAAGGTTCTGGAGTGGGCGGTTGTCTCGCAGCTTCAGGGATTCCCCGATGACACCGATTATCTGGATCAGTTGCAGTCTGGCTTTCGGCCTGGGCACAGTACTGAGGCGGCTTTGGTCACCTTGGTGATGACAGGGAACTGGACAGGGGGAGTGTGGCCCTGCTGGTTTTCTTGGACATCTCAGCGGCTTTCGATACCATCAACCATGGTATCCTGCTGGGAAGACTCACTGGGATGGGACTCAGAGGCACGGTTCTTCTGTGGCTCCAGTCCTTCCTGGAGGGTCGTTCCCAGTTAGTAAAGCTGGGAGACTCCTGCTCGGACCCCTGGCCATTGACCCGTGGGGTCCCGCAAGGTTGTATTTTGTCTCCCATGCTATTCAACATCTACATGAAACAG